ACCCAAGCTGCACTGGAGGCAACATGTTGCAGCTATCAAATCAAATTTTGTCTGTGCTTCACTGACTTGCACGACCTCCTCTGCTTGTGAAGGGCCGCCCCCCACATGCACGGGGACTTCATCTGTTCTTTGCTTACGTTGGCGCTATGTTCCTTCGACGGAAGCGCACTTGTTGCTGGCTATAACGTTGTTTGACTTGGCTTCCGTGCCGAGGATATAAGTGGGTGCTTTTCAAGAGATGCTACGATGAGCTAACACCCGAATCTTTCCTCAAATGCTCTAGAAGGATCTACTGTGGCACACTGGCCCTTTCTCGCCTGATTGCGAAGACCCTGCGACTACTTGTGTTGGGGGCTTGCTGCATTTTTGCAGCATAACTTAACAGTGCTCAGCCCGTTGTGCGAGCTGGCAGTGTCAAGAGGCGCCGGTGCAGCTGCACCGGGCAGGCACGGGTACACCGTGCAGGCAACACCTAGGAGAGTTCCTTCCAGTGTTGCATCTTCATTGCTGCTCCACGAGGAGGAGAACGTGAGTGAGTGAAGCGAGTGGTCGGGGGCCACTTGGGGAGGAAGAAGAGCGTCGTTGACTTGCTGCTGCGCTCTGAGATAGATGCTGTTGCCGTTTTTTCTAGACCCCATGAAACAGATAACCCAACAGAGGCTTCTTGTCTGCGATCACAGCTTGTCGCTGCNTCAGTCTGCTGTCTGCCGCCCCCATCACCGCAATGCACAAAATACTGCTGCAGCAGCTTCGTGCAGCAGCCAGAATGGAGGAATTTTCCTCGCTGTAGCACTTAGAGCCTGGTGGAACTTTCCCAATAGTCCTACCTATTCACAGCCAGCTAGCCGTAACTAGCCGCTGGCAAGCCAGCTAGCTGCAGATGCAGCTAGCAAGGCGTGCTCCAATGGCTGAAGGCACCGTCAGTCAGTTGAGGCCCACGAAGAAAGCAATTCATATCCGCCACAGTTAAGTATTCATCCCTTTTTAACAGCCTAAAGAAGAAGGCTAACGATCCCAATTATTGTCCTCCCACGTCTCCGTCTCGATCACAGGTCTAGTTTAAAAATGCCTCCTGACTTGCCTGCAGGCGCAATGGTGCGGTGATGCTCACTGAGCACACAAACAAAAGTGCTACAAGAACCAGACGCAGCAGCTGCTAGCAGCAGTTGCTGCGCTGGTGAGGAGAGAACCTTGCGGTGAATTCAGTTCTTCGCCGAAGGAGCTGCATGCCTTCATGCAAGAAACGCTCGAGAAGCTGGGGTGTACAGACTGGCACCTTTACCCCCCCTTGCACAGAGAGGCCCCTCGATGCTCTGCTGCGTCGTGCTGCATTTGTTCAAAGTGTACGCAACACCTCAGGCCTCCTGCAGCAGCAAACCTCATGCTCAAGGGAAGAGAGGCATTCGTCGGGGTCTTCCCACTATCTGCTGCTCCCTTGGCAGACGTCGCATCCTTCTGACGCGGAGCCTCACTTATAAGCCGGCCCAGAAACACCGGCAGGGCCGAAGTACTGACACACGAGGCAGGCCACACAACTGCAGCGCCAGCACTAGCGGGAGGAGCAGCAGCAGAAAAAGCTACAAGGTCTGCTGCTGGACGACCTACGGGTCCTCTCAGTTGCGGCGGCGGCCTGAAGAACGGCGTCTGCCGCCGCGGTGCTTCCTTCTGGGCCCCGTTTGTTCGCCTGGGGCAGCTACAGTTGGGGATTGACTCTGCTGCTGCTGTTGCTGCTGTTGCTGCTGTTGCTGATGGGAAGGCGCTGGCTCATCGGCGGGCATGGTGTCGTCTAGAAGCAGCGGAGGTCTTCCGTTGGCTTCTACAGGTCCAGCTACTCGGCGGATGACTGCCGGCTGCTGCGCCAGCGGAGCCCCTCTCACAAAGAGAGAAGGGGGCGTTGCTCCTACTTGAATGCTCTCTTGGGAGGAGCTGCCGGAGGTATCCGCGTCATAGGGCCTTTCGTCTGCATAGTTGCCGCAGCCTTTGCAGTCTTTTGGGCACGGGGTGTCTAGGGAGCTCTGCGATTCTAGCCAGACCCAGGCGGCTCTCTTGCTCTGTCCCTCTGGCTGCCTTCTAGGAACAGCAGGGACAGGAGTGACAGGGCGAGGTGGTGCAGCACGAGCTGTTTGTGCTGGAGTTTTNTTCTAGGAACAGCAGGGACAGGAGTGACAGGGCGAGGTGGTGCAGCACGAGCTGTTTGTGCTGGAGTTTTGGGGGCATCCTCAATCATTTTTCGTGCTGTGCGGCTGTAGAACAAATCCCAGAAAGCTTCAGGGCTAGCAGGTGTGGAGGGTGCAGCAGAGGATGGGCGCCGATTCCGTCCAGCAGCTGCTGTTTCTGTCACTGCAAGAGCAGCAGCTCCTGCTGCAGTTGCTGCACACCTCCCCTCAGTGACTTCTCCAATAGATGCAGGTGCGGTTGGTATCCTGCTTCCCGGAATGGGTGAAACGCTCCGAAGAACTGCTCTCAAGGAGGAGTCACCAGCAATCTGCAGCTGCTGTTGCTGTTGCTGCTGCTGCTGCTGCAGCTGCAGCTGCTGATGGTGCTGTTGCAGTTTCACTGGCGCAGCACGGGTTTGCCTGCTTGATCCTGCATGCGCTTTTCTGCCCCTTCCAGATCTCTGTGCTGCCTTGGGCTGGGGGAAGAGCTGGGCCTCAATCTCTCTTGAGCCGCTGCTGCTCTCCGTGAGCCATTCTGCTGAGTCGCCTGTGCCGCTGCAGCTGCTGCTGCTGCCGGGACTGCCGGGCGTCCTGTTTCTGAACTGCTGTCTCGCTGCTGCTCCCCCGGCCTGCCTTGTTTCTGCAGCAGGAGGGGCTCCCCTGGCTGCAGCACGGCCAGTGCGTTCGCTGGCGGCCCGGGGTCCTGGGGCCTCCTGTAGGCTGCCTCTGCCGAAGAGGAGAGACAAATGGAGGGCCTGGCTGTCTGCTGTTCCCTCAGGTAGATCTGCTAGAGATCCTATTCTCTCCAGGAGACTCAAATGCAGGTTTTCGCTGTTGTTCTCCTGGTCAGACAGTTGCTGCCGAATAGACCGTGGGGNAATGCAGGTTTTCGCTGTTGTTCTCCTGGTCAGACAGTTGCTGCCGAATAGACCGTGGGGCTCGGGGAGCTGCATTTGCCCCTTTAGCTGCAGAAGCAGCAGCTTTTGTGTCTGCTGTTCTGCCTGCTCCCTTCTCGCTTGAGGAGGGCTGCTGCGCAGCATCGTCGCAGCACGAAAGCTTCTCTAGTAGAGACAGATGCAGGGTCTCGCTGTCTTCTCCGCTGCTGAGGCGTTCAAGGAGACTGAGGTGCAGTGCCCCGCTGCTGTCTCTGTCTCTCCGCAATAGGGCCTCCTTAATGTCTTTCGGCTCTGTTGAGGCCAAACGCTGCAGAAGGTCGAGCCGCTGCAACGTCTGCTGCTGCAGTGGCTGCTGCTGCCGTGTTTGCTGCTGCCGTTGCTGCTGCTGCTGCTGTTGCTGCTGCGGCTGAGGAACCCTGGGCTCTATCACCAAATCAATGGACAGCAGACGCAGAAGTTCTTGCAAAAAGCCTTCAAAATCCTGGGAGCTGCTGGCAGAGCTTGAGAGCTCCTCGACGACCTGCAGTGCACATACACCTCAGCTCTTATCTGTTA